TTAGACATTTGAGGGGTGAGGCTTCAGGTACAGACGAAGAGACACCCATGGTCACAGGGAGAGATGGAAGAGAGAGAGAGAATAAGAGTAAGAGAGAGGGACAAAGAGAAAACCCGGGTTGGAATAGCTTTCTGGAAGCTCAGGGCAAACGAGGGATCAAGTGGGCGTCCCCAAAATGACCGACCTTCACGAGGAAATACAGAGGGCACTACCTGGTCGTTACCAGTGAAGTGCGATCTGTGAGACCCAATAGGGCTGGAGCCACAGGCAACCTGACGTCAGGAAAGTTTTTGACGGGAGCGAAAGAGTCAGGATGAGAGGAACGCAGCTCCGGCGGAGGAGGAAGAAACCGGGGAGCCTCTCGTGTAAACCCAGAAGCCTCTCGCCCAAAAGGGAAGTGGATCACCAGAGGGTCCACTGTGGCCAGTGAAGGTCTTAGTGGGGTGGGTTCCCTCCTCCCTACCGGGCGTCAGGAGTGTGCTGGACAGTCACGGTCACAGTTCCTACTGTTAGCCCGAAGAGAGTTGGCGAGCCGGGGAGGGGGGACTTACCTAAACCAGTTCAGTGGTCAGTGCAGTGAACCAGCGTCTGAAAGAGCAGACTAGGGCGGAGTGTCTCGGTGGAGCCGGGACCGGGGCTCTTGTTAAAATGAGCTCACCCGTGTCCTGGGTTTCGGCACCAGAATGAAAGAATTCCTCCACACAAGACGCTTCGCCGGGGAGAGTTCCACTTTATTACAAAAGGCTGTGGGCTTTATATAGATCTAAGGAGAGGTAGCAGGGCTTAGGTAAATGACGGGTCACTCGTTTATTGGTAAGTTCTTCCAGATGTCAGTTCCAGAGCCCACGAAATTAGTTCTTATTGGGGCTAAGGTTTCCCCCCAGTGAGATTTGAAATTGGCGCCTGCGGGAGAGTTTACACTGGCGGGAACTTTTCGTGCCAGTGAAAAGGGAAAATAGGAAGAGAAGGTCCTTAGGCGCCATGTTGGGGTTTTTTTCCTGGGGTGCGGCTGCCGTTATACTTTTTCCCAACAGTTTTGGTCTTTTTTCCTTGAAGGGGTCTTTCTGAAGTTGACTGGCCTTTCCTTCCAAGAACAAGTTTTGGTTTTGTGAGGCTTCCTTGTGTATTCTTTTTCTCCTGTACGCCGTGCTGGGGTGGAATCCAGGGCCTGGTGCTCCTGGGCCAGTGCTCCACTCTGAGCTGCACCCAGCCTGGTGCTGGCGTCCTCACAGTGCTGGCTCTTTCAGTCCGTATGTTTCATTTCAGGTAGTTTTTGTTAATGTAGTCTCTGTCGACAGGTGTTCAGGAATCTCCTCCTTGCCATGCAGTGAGCACCTGACTCTGCCACTCTGGTGATCTTTCCTCTTTGAGGGGACCCTTCCCCAGTCGCCCCCAATGCATGTCGTGGCTTAACAGGTGTATATCAGGTTGCTTTTCTGGCATCTCAGTCCAGGTTTCAGGGGCCTCTTTCTTGTTTCTTTGAATTGTGTCTTTGTTGAGATCAGTTGTAGTCTGTTTTCCCTTAACTCTTGATTAAAAGTTGAGATGGGGGCTTAAGTCGTTGCAGCCTGGAAGCTTCTCTTCCATTCTCTTACCCTCTCAAATTCTGAATTCTTTAGCTCTTTCCTTACATGAGTCCCTAAAGTAATTTTAAAAAGCAGTTTGCACTTTGAATTGGAATCTGGCGTTTTTCACTCCAGGGTCCAGTGGTGGAGAGTTGTAACTTCTAGGACATGAAGTGATATGCACATACTTCTGAAGGTGGTGTGGTGGATTGAGAGTAGTCTGGCACTTGACCCGGCACATCTGGCTTCTATCCAGAGCTGCGTTCTTTCTGTTGTCCATTGTCCCAGTGCATGCCAGGTGGACCTAGGTTTCCTCTTGATAAGTTGTTAAAATTGTCAGTACACATGGAAACACCAAGTATTCAGCTTGAGAGTTGACCACAGGTGATGCTTACTGGAGATGTGTATCTGGAGTAAATGGAATTTATTGTTGCAATTTTTTTTTATATTTATTTTTTAGTTTTAGGTGGACACAGTATCTTTATTTTACATTTATGTGGTGCTGAGGATTGAACCTAGTGCCTCCTGCATTCCAGGAGAGCACTCTACCACTGAGCCACAACCCCAGCCCTGGAGTAAATGGGATTTTAAAAAAGACAGCTTCCACGCTGGGTGCAGTGGCACGCACCTGTAATCCCAGCTGCTCGGGAGGCTGAGAGAGGAGGATCACAAGCTCAAAGCCAGCTTCGGCAATGGCGAGGCGCTTAGCAACTTAGACCCTGTTTGTAAATAAAATACAATGTAGGGTTGGGGATGTGGCTCAGTGGTTGAGTGCCCCCTGAGTTCAATAAAAAAAAAAAAAAGCTTAACCTTTTCACGGACAAACATTACTTACTGTGGGAGTGAGACAAGTTCACCCTCAGTTCTTGTCCTGGTTTGTTTTTATATGGTGGAAATGTTGGTCACATCTAAAGTAGGTTGTATTAAATGCAGTTTTATGGTAGCACTGTACTCAAGTTTTAGCTTCCAAAAAAACTATTTAAAATATTATACCAAGGGCTGGGGCTCAATGGAAGAATGCTTGCCTAGCATGTATGAGGCCCTGGGTTTGATCTTCAGCACCAAATAAATGAATAAAGTAAGCCAAAAAAAATGTTGTACCAAAAATTACAAACTGATGTTAATCAGTTGACCTCCGCTTAAATGCTTGAATTTCTCCAGAAGGTAGAAGGTGGGCAAGCTTAAGCCCTTCAGAAGGTTTAGAGTAACCAGCTATTGCAAGGCGTAGGTGTTTATATTGTTATCTCTAAAGGCTGTATCACCAAAATGTACCTGAAACCTTCCCCTTGAAGACACCTTGCTTTTAAAATCAGCTGTACTGAGAAAATTTTGAGTGCACTGTTGATGAATATTTAAAAATTTTGTACATACAATACAAGACTGGAAAGGTTGTAAAACTGATGTGTGCATTATTGATTTACTGTAAACACCTTGTAACCACCATTCATGTTAGAAGGCAAGACCTTGCTAGCCCCATCCCCTGCTAGCCTCTTCCCATCCTCTAGGACCCAGCATTTTTTGGAGCTGCAAGTTCAAGCTGGGGCAGCCTCATGGATTTGGCCTCTGGTGGGAGCAAGTGTGGCAAGACAGGAAGCCAGAGTGTGGAGAGCAGCTGTTGTTTTGACCTTCCACTGGGCACCTCTTCAAATTGCCACGCTGGCAATTAGGCTTCTTGTCCATGGACTCTTGGGACAGACTACATCCAGCATTTATGTCTTTTGATCTCTCTTCTTTGGTCTCTTCATTGCAATTTAATTGTTGGGGGTCCTCCCAGGTTCTTGTCTGCAGCGGACCCCCGACTGGGCTTGGGTTGATTGTGTGTCCCTGGTGCAGTCTGGTGTGTTGTTCCACCCTGCACTCCTAGTAAGCTGGTAGTTAGACTGGTTGATGGGTGCAGGTTGGAGTGTGGCTGTGTTTGCTGCCAGGAGGTAGTGGCTGCAGCCTGTGCACCTGGTGCCGCCTCGGGGTGAGCCATTGCTCACGAGGGCAGAGCCAGTGTTGGCACCTGTGGTGTCTGGGTGCTGTCTTCTGGGGTGCACTTTACATGTGATTCCATTGCAGCCCTGGGGCTATGCATGTTTCCAGAGATCCTGCTGCTGCAGAAGGTGTGGTTGTCTTATGAGGTCCTTCATGAAGTGGATTGCAACCAGCATTTCCTTGGCTCTTCAGATTGCTCAAACATACTTCCATTTGTTTTGCCTCATCTGATCATTAAAAGAACCCAAGGGTCTGTGTCCCAGCATCCCTGTCTGGGTGCAGCTGCTCTGGGCTGTGTAGTGTTAGGATTCACACAGTTCACTTCACAGTCAGAAGTGGTAAAACTGCTGTGCCAAGCAGTAGTCCATGAGCTGAGCATGACCAGCCCTATCCAACTTGTGGTTGTAGAACCTGTGTGGGGCCATGGTCTGAGCCCAAGGGTCCCCCACTCCACTTTTGCTAAAGCCCAGCCTTTTAGTGTGCTGCAGTCACCTTCATTGGAGATGTGGGCTGGGTGCCCGGGCTGCCTTGAGCATGCAGGCACAGAAAGGGTCCTGGTGACCCAAGGAGAGCCTCAGGGCAGGAGACCTACAGCAGAGAGATTGGGAGCAGTCTCAGGAAGGAGCTGTGCTTTCTACCTGATGTTTTTGTTTATTGTTTATTTTGTAAAAGTTTTGATTTGAAGTCTTCAAAAAGTTGAACTCAAAATTCCTTAATTTTAATTTAAGGAGCCATCCGATATTATAAAACAGTTTTGAAACTTTTGATGTTTGGTGGGGGGTGAGGAGCTGCTTATTGCAGTAAGTGCTGGTTTATGATTGAATTTATCATTTTTTTGGCTTCCTTGAGGCAAATTGATGATGGGCCATCTTTTGTTCTAGCAGAAAGCCTCTCTGGCTGGCCTTTAAGGGTTTAAATAAGGACCTCATTCTCATGCACTTGTTTTTATCATTTTGCATTTTGTAGTCCCTAGAAAAAATGAGGTTTCTCAGGAGTCTGGAGAGGCCCAGTTGTCACTTAGAACAGACTCTTCCCACCCTGGCTGTCAGTTGCTGTCCCTCCAGTGGGCCAGTCTGTCTTCCTTGAGGGTTGAGTGGCACCAAGGCCCACAGTGTCAGTCTGAGAAGCCTCAGCACCGCAGTGATGGCCCCAGCCAGCCCGTGAATAGGCGAGAGAGCACACAAAGAATCACAAGTACTTAAAGCTTTGCTCAATTCTTTCTTTTTAGATGTTTAATCTGATACATATTTTGGTAGATGAAATCTTCAAATAGCTGAATTGTGAACTTTGTTTTTGTATCACTAGGGATAGTAGAAATAATGTATATCATGGCTCAGGAGAAGACTAAATTGTGAACCTGTGGTTTTATTAAAAGTAATGCTTCATTTCTAGTTTCTTTGTTGAAAACATTTGAATGTACTGCTTCAAAGCTAAACTCTGAGTTTTTCCATGTTTTAGATTAAATAGGATTGCGAATCAGGTGGCCATTCAGCGGAAGAAGCAGTTTGTGGAGCGAGCCCACAGCTACTGGTTACTCAAAAGGCTGTCTAGGAATGGCGCTCCCCTGCTGCGGCGGCTCCAGTCCAGCCTGCAGTCCCAGAGAAACACGCAGCAGGTACGTGCATGCGCCTTGTCAGCCTCAGTGTCTCTTGCCTCCTGACACACTGACCACACTGAGCAGACAGCCCCTGGCATGGAGGACACTTTCTTTAGGCAGGATGTGGCACTGGGCCTTTGTGCTGGGATTGTGCAGGTGACACATGCATCCTCATGGCCTGTGTGTCTGCTCTTCCTTCTGTCGCTGCACAGGCTGATGAATTGTCGGCCCCGTGCCTGGCACTTGGCAGCTCTGGGGCCAGAAAGTGCTGCCGAGGGAAGCTGTTGTAACATTGGCTGCGTGAGTGTTCAGAGCAGGGACCGCAGGAAGAGTTGGAGGAGCGCCTGGGTCTGATGGCTGGTCTGCACGGTGGGCCCTGGCAGCCTTGCATAGGAGTGATTTGTTTCCGGGCTTTGCTCTGAAGGCCAGTTTTAGCATTTAGTGAGGAGGTAAGGAGCTGAGAGGGTCCAGAGGTTTCCTTTTAAGAAGAACAAGCTCAGGCACCTTAACAGTTCAACGTTTTAGCTGTTAATGTAGACCTAAGGAGCCATCCGATATTATAAAACAGTTTTGAAAGAATGTAAAAAAAGTAAAAGAAAAGTAGAAAGTAAAGAATTGGCTTCTGTAAGATGTCACAAAAATGAATTGAAGACAAAAAATGGTACTCCTGAACACCACCCAGAAATATGTATCTGGCAGCTCTGCTCACTTGTGTTTTGCAAGGAAAGGCCAGTCTCAGGGAGAGTGTGTCTTGTGTCAGCCACCTCCTCAGGCTGAGAGGCTAGGAGGGCTGGGTGGAGCCTCATGGGACCTTTGTGTGGCCCTTTTCCTGTGCTGCAGTCCTGAGCAGGGAGTAGCATTATTAGTCTGGTGTGAAATTCAGCTCTGGTTTTGGTAGGAGTGTGTGGCTCTAGAGTTCCTGGTGGGGCCCTGTGATTTAGGGGGGAGTGCGGTTGGCTGTCAGCTCAGTGGTGCTGCTTGACTGAGCCCTGTGTGGACAGATTGCTTGTACCTGTGAATGGTCTGTGGGTCTGATCTGGGTGGTGGAGTCCTTGGTGCTTGGTGGAGGCTGTGGATAGAAACTGCTCCTCACTATAATCTCCTAGTGACTGTGGAGAGTCTGGGGCCTCCATGAAGCAGACTCCCCGACTTGCATCTTTCCTCCTTTTGTGTTCTGCAGAGGAGCTTGAGCTTGTAAGTCAGCCCCTCACTGGCAAGCATGCTTATATCGCCAGGCTCTGAAGTGCCTGGCAGAGCAGCGGCTTCAGTGGGTATTTCTTGGTTGTTGAGTGACTCAACCATATTTTTCACCCTGTTGTGCTGTGAGGCACTGTTGTTCACCCTTCTACATCCTTTCTTCTTACTCCACAACCCCACAGGGGCTCCAGGTATAGAGGAGAGGAACTTGGGGCAGGGGATCCTTTAGGACATTGAGTTACAGAGTGGAGGAGTATGTGGCCACGGTGGACACTGGCAGGATCAAGGATTTCAGCTTTGCTTCTGTGATGGTGGGAATTTGGAAAAGAGGGTTGTGGCCAGTGGCAGTGGAGAATCTAGACCTGGGATCTCATCCCTGGCTGGAGGGGCTTTCCATTGAGCCGGGATGTCAACAGAGTCTCCGTGAAAAGAGCACTGACGTGGCTGGGAGGGATCTGAAGGCTGTGGGGATCATTGCCCTTCACAAACACTGAAGGATGCAGGGCTTGTGTGGTCTGTGGGTGGCTGGGCCTGGGCAAAATGGAACTGGTAGGAAGGCCAGGGAGGAAAAGGGGGAGACCGGACAAGATGGGAGAAGATGGTGCCACCAGGTGCTTGGGTCGGTCAGACTGAAACAGTCCCAGGAAAGTCTATGAGGACACCTCACTAGGAGGTGGAGAGGAAGGGTCTGTGGACTGGAGCCCAGCATATTCCACAGTGGTGTCAGGAGGCCTGCATTACCTCCCAGTTAAGAGGGCTTTGGGGAGGAGGGACTTGGAATTGCTGAAAGGGCTGTGGATGACCATGCTGACCTTCTAGTGGGGCATATGCACCTGCAGTGCCATGTTGGGGGTAAGCGGGAACTGATGGGTGACAGCCCCAGATTACTCCTATATTGTCCTATGAGGATTGATTTTTCTAGGGGTTCCATGACAGTGGTGCTGTTCAGGGAATGTTTAAAAGACTTGAGTTAATCTTTTTTGGTGGTGGTTCTGGGGCCTGAATTCAGGGTTTCCTGCTTGCTAGGCATATGCTCTACCACTGAGTCTCACCTCAACTCTTTTTTTATTTTTTGTTTTGAGACACAGGGTCTTGCTAAGTTGCTCAAGCTGGTCTAGGAACTTGCTGTCTCCTATCTCTTGAGTTGCTGGGATGATAGGTGTGTGTCATCGTGCCTGGCTCCTAATGGTTTTTGAAAGTAGAAGTACTTGATGTTAGAATTTGATTTGCCCAGGTTTCTGGGTGTCTGCCCTCACCCAGGCCCTGGGAGAAGACTGGCAGAGCCCTTTGGTCCCGTGGCTGACCGTTCAGGTATACCACAGACAGGGTGGATGAGCAACTTTGAAAGCTAGGCCCCCAAGGTTGCCAATAGTGCAGCTGGGGTCCGGAGGCCTTCTTAGAGGGCTGTATGCCCTAGACAGTGGAAGGACAAGTACCATGTTCTTCACTGTCTGGAGGAAGAAATAAGGTGGCTGCATAGATTTGGCCTGCAGTCTGGCAGTTGTGTACTCAGTCTGGCCTCTCTCCATTCATCCTGCTCCCTGGGTCTTCCTTTCTTGCCATGCGAGTGTGTCTATCAACTCCCTCTAGGTTGCCACCCCTCCCAGCCTCCTGCTGGTGGCATCTCAGGGAGACTGGGGCTGGCTGGGCTGGGACTGGTTGCTCTCTGGGTCTCAGGCCCTTGGTGCAGTGTCCAGGATGGGATTTGTTGTTGTGGAGCTGGCTAGTGTCTACAGCCCTACTGGCATATCCCTCAGCACTGGGGTTTCTGTTGTGACTGCTGAGCCATTCCTCACCATGGGGGACGTCTCCCATCCCAGCACTTGGGTCTTCTTCCTGTTTTTTGAATAGAGGCTCTTTAGCTTGGGTGGGCATTTCTTCCTGGCCGTGGGCAACCACCTCTGTACTTCCCTCTCTCAGAAACCTCTCTACTTCGGTCCTCCTATGAGGTGTCTTCCAGAGTTGACGTTTGCAGAACAAGGAGGTTTAGGACTTTGGAGTAGACGAGACTGTGTGTACTCGGGCCCTTCAGTCATGATGCCATGGCATGCAGGAGTGAGGGCCACAGTGCTCCATCACCATGCATGTGACCACATTGCTGCTGGATGGCATTTTCTTATTAAACCTAGGCCTTGGGCAAACTAGCACATTTTGCTAGCTCGTGAACATGAAGGGGCTTCTTGGTATTTAGAAGATTATTTGGTGTCACGGTCCAGGCCAAGTATCCTCAGGATGTTTCCAGCTGATAGGCAGTATGATTTTCAGATGCTTTTAGGGACGTGGTTTGTCAGATCCACATTTTAAATATATTACTAGCATTGTTCATGTGAGTGAAATTGTTAATCCTGATTCAATGCCTGAGAATTTCTAGTAGCATTAGGTGTTCCCTGTGACCTGTGCTATGGTGGGCGCTGACACTGCTTCCCTGCAGGCAGGAACCTCCTGGTTTGAGATGGGCACAGGGTACATTGTCTTGTGTGCCTCCTGGCCTTCCTGCACCATCTTTACTCAGGGCTTTTTCACTGTTGAGTGGTGGAGTCCATGACCATTTGCCATCAGACCTTGTGTCCTTGAACAAGCATGCTTGTCCTCTGGGTGTGGGAACGTGAGGGCAGAGCAGCCCAGAGATAGCGTGGTCCCATGAGTGTAGGGCTTGTTCTAGAAATTGATGTCAGCTCCTGGCTTGTGGCTGCCCAGTGGTGTGTGTCTAGGGGTCATCCTTCAGCAGTACAGGGCAGACATCCCAGGTAGGCCATTCTCCTTCCCATGGTGGTAGGGTCAGGGCATGCTGAGCCACTGTATGGAGATGGTCCTGGACATAAGCTGTCTTGTGTGGTCCTGTAAGTGGGGTGCAGTGTCCCTGCCACGTCCCTCCTCCATAAGGCAGAGGATGGGTATTCACTTTGGGCAGTGACCTGAGGACCAGTGTTCTTAGTGTAGGTGTGCCCTGACTAGGCAGGAAAAGGAAGTTTGAAGTGTTGTCAGAGAGAGGCCCGGAGCAGGGGAGCAGAGGTGGGGTCTTGATTGGATAAGGTATAGGAGTGCTGGAGGCCTGTTGGCGTGTCTTACATTGGCTGGTAAATTTTCTGGTTGTCATTTGCTGCCAGGTGGCTAGAGAGCTGGTCCTGTGCTGGGAAGGGCTTTGGTTGTCTTGCTGGATACTCTGCAGTGGTTGCTGTAGGGGAGTGTGCCTGTGCCTCTGAGTATACCCTCAGAGAGGCTTCTGTGAGCCTGTAGGGCCAGCATGGGTTGCTGTGTTTCTTCATCCTGCTAAGACCTCTGTATAGCCAGGGTGACTGATTATAGGGCCAGGCAGACCCAGTGTGCTCTCTACCACCACGTGCCATGGCTCTGCAGTACTGTGCTTTCATATCTATGACTTGTTGGGAACAGGTTGGCATAGTCCATGGGGAGGTCATGGCACATGCTGCCTGGTCCACCACTCTGTCCCCCCCCCCAAGGAGGGAAGGCAGGAGAGGAGCCGTCTTTGGGGACTGCAGAGTGTAGCCATCTCCAAGGGCAGGGTTGGGTGTCAGCATGCCTGTCCCACGCCTCTCTGCAAGCCCAGAGCCCAAGCTACTCTATGCTGTGAGGTGGATGGACACAGACCTGGTTTTGTGCACCTGGTGCATTCCTGTCATGCTGTCCCTTCCCAGCTCTCCTGGGGTCCTGTATCTCCCTCAGCTGCATAGCTAGGACAGGCCTGTGGGACACCTATTTGGCTGGTACTGGCATGCAGGGCACAGTGGGCTCTGCTTGTGCAGGCATCTGAGGCCGTTGGCAGGAAGAGTCTGTGCGCTTGACTGAGGGGAAGTTTCAATTAATGTTTTCAGAGAGAAAACGATGAAGAAATGAAAGCAGCCAAAGAGAAGCTGAAGTACTGGCAGCGGCTCCGGCATGACCTGGAGCGCGCCCGACTGCTGATCGAGTTGCTGCGCAAGAGGGAGAAGCTCAAGCGTGAGCAGGTGAGGTCCCCCTTTATCCTGGGCTGTTCCTTGAGCGACCTGTGGGTATCCAGGACCCCTGTTTGCCTCACAGGAGCTCTGGAGACACCCTTAGGCAGCCCCACTTCCCAGCATGTTCCTGCCTCATAGTTAGCCCCACAGTTGTACCTCCCTTGAGCCAGGTCAGGTGACTGCCCCTGGATTGCAGGTCCTTAACAGAAGGCTGTGTTGTTAGCTTCCTTGAAATAAGTATAGGCAGGGCTCAGGAGGAGGGCTGCCTTGTAGCAGGGGCTGGCCTACATGTGATGCCTGGTCTGCAGGGGTTTCTCTGTGGCTGTGCAGAACATAAGGAACCAAGGTTCCCAAGGGGTGTGCCTGAGTCCCTGATGGTGAGTGTGTGCTGTTGTTGCAGGTAAAGGTGGAACAGATGGCCATGGAGCTGCGGCTGACTCCACTGACTGTGCTGCTGCGCTCAGTCCTGGAGCAGCTGCAGGAGAAGGACCCCGCTAAGATCTTTGCCCAGCCCGTGAGTTTGAAGGAGGTGCGTGTTGCTTTTCTGTCTCAAGAGTTGCTGTTTGATGGTTAATGTTTAGCTGGGGAACACTGTAGACATATTCTAATTTTATTTAAGGCATGTATATATTACTTACTTATTCTAATAAGTTATACATGACAGCAGAATACTCTTTGATTCATTGTACACAAATGGAGCAGGATTTTTATATATAAGTATTTTATTAAAAATAGGTTTCACTGTGAAGTACAGCAAGTGCCTGAGGGCATCTCCTCTCAGCCTCAGCAATTGGCACCATTGCCTGGCCAGTGGTACTTGTAGCTAAAGAAACTTGGGTCAGGAGGGTCCTTGTCAGCTTGCTTTGGTGCTGCCATTTGTTAGCTGTATGAAAATACTCTTGAGATGGGTGTGTGGCTCACAAATATGATTGCTAGTGTAGGTAAGTAGAGTAAGCTCAGAACCCTGTTTTAGTTTGTAAATGATTGTTTTCCTCCCTAAAATCAGGTACCGGATTATCTGGACCATATTAAACATCCCATGGACTTTGCCACGATGAGGAAACGACTAGAAGCTCAGGGGTATAGAAACCTGCGTGCGTTTGAGGAGGATTTTGACCTCATTGTAGATAACTGCCTGAAGTACAATGCCAAGGACACCGTGTTTTATAGAGCCGCAGTGAGGCTGCGCGATCAGGGCGGCGTGGTTCTGAGGCAGGCCCGGCGCCAGCTGGACGGCATTGGCCTGGAAGAGGCCTCTGGAATGCACCTGCCCGAGCGGCCTGCCGTGCCCCCTCGGCGGCCTTTCTCCTGGGAAGATGGTAAGAACTGGTGCTGTGTCCAGGCAAAGACAGGAGGATGCTCTTCCCAGCCCACTGTGCAAAGCATCAGGATTCCTGCCATGTGGTCAGTGCAGATATGCCAGAGGGTGCTTGTTTTATTTATTTTTTATTCTCTCTGCAACCTGGTGTGTATTGTATACAACATATATCATTCGGGTCCTGTTACATTTCAGGCACATTTGACCTGCAGCAGCCCAGGTCTCCATGATACAGACCACGAAGGCAGTTGAGTTAGAGATTTGTACCCAGCGGGGCCCTTGTTCGGCTTATGAGGATGTCTTGCAGCTCTTGTCAGAGTTGACGGACAAGGGGTAGAAACTAATTGGTTTTGCCTTTGACCTCTACTCATGGTTTGCACATGTTGCAGAAGGGCCTGAGGAAAAGTGTGTCCCTGGCCCTCTTGACCCCATTTGGGCCTGTACTTCTTGGCTGCCCCAGGCACATGCCATGTCTGCCTGCCTCTCATCTGCCTCCTCCTCTGAGCAATCTATGGAAGCCTTGCTGACCCTTGCTTCTCAAGCCCATGTTGGTGTTTGTTGAGTGGCATGAATGTCCACACGAGTAGGTAGAGCACCCTAAAGCATGGTTTTCCTGAATTCTGAGTTGTTAGTTAAAAGTCATGGTATTTGGGTCATGTGTTCAGAGTTCTCATATTCCTGGTTTCTTGGCCTGACCCGCCTGCTGGTAATCACTGACCAGTGCTGAGACTGGACTTGGACTGGTGCAGTCTGGGTATCTTCCTTTCCCTCCATTCCCTGTTGACTGTGGCTTCAGCCAGGACATAGGTCTCCCTGTGGGCTGCTGGCTGCTGGCCCCTGTATCTAGCCCAGAGGGACCATTTCCTGCCAGCACTAGGGCATGCAGGATAGGTTGAACTTTTTTTTTTTAAAGAAGGGAATGTCTTTTTATTTTTTGTTTCTGGTTTCAAGGGGAATGTGTATTTTTGTAGAAAATTGGGAAAAAAACCACAGATTCAAAACTCAGAGCTGATGACTCTTGGCAATCCCAGATAGAGCTGGTTAGGTCAGAACCATTGTATTCTGTAATGTTCCCTGGGGTCCTGGGTAGAAGTAGGTCTGAGAATCATGGTCTTGGAGTGACCTCATTCTTCCACACTCACCTCACTTCCCTGAATGTCTTCTCCAGTCTGCATGTGAGGAGAAGGGGAACAGTCCCCCAGCCTTTCCTGTCTGGTGTGGAATTTCACCAGCTGTGGCCCTGGGCAGAGACTGTTCCCTCCACATGGTGCTGGCTGCCCTTAGAAACAGGAGGACCCAGCTGGGCAGGGTGGTGCACATCTGTAATCCCAGCGGCTCAGGAGACTGAGGCAGGAGGATCAAAGCTAGCCTCAGCAATTTAGTGAGGCCCTAAGCAACTCAGACTTTGTCTCTAAAAATAAAATATAGAAAGGGCTAGGGATGTGGCTCAGTGGTTGAGCACCCCTGGGTTTAATCCCTGGTATTTAAAAAAAAAAAAAGAAAAAAAGAAACAGGGCCCAAGTGATAACTGGGAGCCCTTGACCCCATAGGCCCTGATTCTTCTCCTCAAGGCCTGCTAACTGTGGCCACAAGATTCCCCTGAACAGACTGGGCTTGGAGACCTATGAGTTGGTATCTTCGAGAAAATGATCATCATGCATGTTGCTAAATAAATTTCTGTGCCGGACTTTTTGCTGAGGAGAGAAATAAGAATGAGAAGTCCAGTGTCATTTCTTTCTCTGCTTGGGCAGGGAACGCTTGAGCCATGGTGTTGCTCAAGGAGGGTGCAACTGCTATTCTGTTGGCACCAGGCACCCCAAGTCTTACGGTATTGTCCTGCAGGTACAGATGGAGGAGCCGCTGGCCTCTGTGGAAGAGGCCGGCATTGCAAGGCTGTTTCCTTGGGGGCTACAGGTGGCATGAGGGGCTGCCTCTGGAGGTTTTGTGGGAACAACGACAGGGATGTGAGTCACACGTTGCAGATGTTGGTTCATTTCCCACACAAGGGCTGCATGTCCTGCAGAGACCAGGTATTCAGGAGGACTCGGGGTTCTGCAGAGGCCTGATTGGCTTTGTCTTCCTTTGGCCCTTGATTTCATCTTGGGTAGCTTCTAAGAGTGATTTCTTTCTTGGTCGTCTCTCGATGGTGTAAGATTTGTACCCCATGAGGTTTTTTTTGGGTGTTTTTTTGAAATTGTAAGGACTTTAGTAGTAAATATGCCTGGATTCAGAACCACCTGTGAGCTGTTCAGCTCAGGCTCAGAAAAGCCACACCGTCCGTATTCTGTCTCTGAAGACTGGCTGGGATCTTGTGATGAGTGCCAGTCCTAGGTGGGCCTGATGGCATGCCATCACTTTGCTGGCAGACTTGGAACTGGTAGAGAATGTGCATCTCTCTGGTGGTCCTTGTGCGCCCTTGCTCAGATCTGGCTGTCCACCCGGGAAGACTTAGTTGGGACCTACCCTCGGCGGGAGGTGGGTGTCATCTGGATACCGCCTCTGCTCGTCTACCTTGTCCCCACTGTGCCTGGTGGCTGTGGGAGTAGGGATTCTCCTTCAAAAGCCTCCTGTGTCTCCTTGTGGCAGTTGGCCCTCCGTGGGTTCAGAGAATGGGTAGAGGGGCCTGGGCACAGCCTTGAGTGGCCAAGGGCAGTTTCAGGGACAGTTGGGACCAGTGTAGTATTCTCAGAGGGGTCCTGGAATCTGATGGTTTATGGTGTCTATCCTTTGGTTTAGTGGACAGGTTGCTGGACCCCGCCAATAGGGCCCACCTGGGCCTGGAGGAGCAGCTGAGAGAGCTGCTGGACAAGTTGGACCTCACCTGCTCAATGAAGTCCAGCGGCTCGCGGAGTAAACGGGCAAAACTGCTCAAAAGAGAAATTGCTGTCCTTCGAAACAAGCTTAGCCAGCAGCACAGCCAGTCCCCACCAGAGGGGTCAGGGACTGGCAGCTTTGAAGAGGATGCTGCTCCACTGGGGCCTGACACAGGGGAGGAAGGTAAGCGTGGTGGGGGGTCAGCCTTGACCAGTGCTCTGTGGTCATCACTATTGTTGTAAGCTTTGAAATTCACAAAAACTCTGATCGTGGTTTCCCACCAGGTTTTGTTTCCTTTTGAAAAGATGGTACAGTTTGTGCCTTTTGTATCATATTTTGGCACTTGCATAGTTTATAGACTTTATGGCACAGAGAATAAAATATCCCCCCCCCCGCCCAATTCAGGCCTGAAAAAAACATTTTAAAGAATGATGTAGATGTTCCAGTGTATAGAAGAGCAAGGTGGTGTAGAAGAGCAAGGTGGTTTGCATGTAAGAGTGAGAAATGCTTCTTTTTTGTAAGTGAGGGGGCTGCTGAGGTATGCACCAGTCCTCAGAGTGGCTGCTATCCCTGAAGTCTCCCCCTGTGGTGGAATGGTGGGAGGAGGCTCAGTGTCTCCCCGCAGAGGCCAGAGCCCTTCCTGCGAAGACCCTCCATGGACTCTACTCTCCTGACTGCAGAGCTCTTCCGATGGGTCTGAGGGACATACAGGAGGACAAATCCATCCGTCTAGTGGAGAAACGGGGGGAGTCCAGTGCAGACGTAGCATTGTAGCGGCAGGAGGGTAATTGTACATGTCTGGGTTGAGGAGGTAGGGTCCAGGTGAGAGTTAGAAACCAGCTTGAGTGGAGCCGGCAGGCCACTCCTGCTACTCACCACCCCCTTTTGGTTCCAGTTGTACAGAGTAGAGCAGAGCAAGATCTGCTCCTGCCACGGCTGTCCATGGTGGTTTCTCACCTCCCAGAGTGTTTTCCTCACGTATCCAAGTGGGGATAGGGAAGCTGAACGCAGACCCACAGATGCAGTTGCTGTGAGTGTGCTCTTGATTGACACGGGATTCCCTGCTTCTTGTCCCCACAATGTCACTTCCTGCAGCTCCCCGTTGGTGGCTGCTGAATGTGTCAGACAGCCCCCGCGTGGTCAGGCCTTCCATCCTGTTGCTGTCAGGCGCTGGCAGGAAGTCACTCCAGCACCTGGGCTTTCTTGGGCTTGGCAAGTCCTCCTGCTTGTCCAGCTGGGGCGTGCTTGTGCCCTTCCCTTCCATCCTTTTTGGTGGTGGTGTGGTCTGTTCACACGGTAAAGAATTAAGTTCTCAGCGTGTCACATGTTCACCCTGTGCTCTGTGAGCCTCTGTCACTAGCATGTAACACCCTACTGACTCTGGAGATTCTGCACCTTTCTTTGAGGAGCATTTGCTCATGGGACCTTTGACAGCCAGACTTTCTGGCATCTGCTGCTGTCCCTGTGCCCTGGTGGGTCCTAGATGGCGTCACTGCCTGTTTCCCAGGGTGATCCTCTTGCCACTGCCTGAGCCGGTCCCCTGACTGAGGATGATCCTGGGGTTTAACCGCTCTTAGGTATAGTGTCTGTTTGCCTTGAACAAAACAGTGAGTTAAGGGAGGAGGTTTGTCAGCAGGTTGCTTACCCTGATCGGAGCAGCTCCATCCGTGGAGAGCCCCTCCCTGACACCACCTTTCCCACTGCAGTCATGTGCTGCCTTTACAGGTCTTTCCTCAAAGGTGCCTTCCATCCACAGTGTGTGCACAGGGTCCAGGACCCTCACTCGGCTGTGAGTGTGGCTCCCCAGAGTCCCCTGACCTTGAGCATGAGCCAGCTGGGGTCATCTTAGAGAAAACATGCATGGTATTATCTGAAGCAAAGACACCTAGAATGGCTGAAGGTTGTTGGGTCTGTGTTTGAAATGACTGAACTCACAAAAGGGCGTTTTCCTTCTAGCTAAGGGGAAAGACAGATGGGGAAAGAAACAGCCTGATCTGTTCTGAGGGGAGTAGAGGGCAACGTCCCATCTCCAGGCAGAGCAGATATGCTATGGGGAATGGCGTGAACATGGGGTGGGCAGCCAGAAGTGCGTCTGAGCTGGTGTGGCGGTGTGCTCAGTGTGTCCGTGATGGCTGAGACCAGGGACCAGATGCTTGGAAATATTTCAGCACATTCTTCTGAAAGATTAAGACCTCTGTTATTTAATTAAATATACCTGCAGTATTGTTACTCCTGTAAAGACAGAAATTCCTTGATATCAAATGCATGGCTTCACCTAAATTTCAGTGGAAAGATGTTGATGTGACATTTGTGTTGTTTGCATGTGAAGAACTTCAGGCAGGATAACCCTAGGTGCTGCACATTGACACACAGCTCTCTGGCCGGCCGTGACTTGGTCTGACACCAGGGGTGAGTGGCTGATTTGCCAGGTTCCCCTCTGTCTTGGCTCCAGTTACCAAGATCCAGCTGAGTGAGTCGAGGTCTAGAACTTGGGCATGGTGAGCCTTGTGAGGTGAACTTGAGCTCTTAGGAGCCTTCTCTCTGCCTTTCCACCCAGTGGGGTTTCAGTTGATTGGTGAAGCAGAGGCTTTGGGAGGAGCAAGAGCCCACACGTGGTGAGTGAGGCTTGTACCTCACTCCTGGATGGGTCACGAGGAGGTGTGCTTGTCCCTTGCTGAAGGCTCCAGAGTCAGTGCAGTGCAGGCATGTGGCACCACTGTGTGTATAGTAGTCAGGTTCTTGCTGTGTACGTGCCATGCTATGGCCAGAAGGGATAGATACGTTTGGAAGGGATTTTTAACTCAAGTGCAGAATGCTTAGTGTGTGAGCTCTGTTCCCGCAGGGTGGCTGATGAAAGGAACAGGAGGACAGCAATTGGTAGCACTGGTGGGAATGTTCCTGTGGGCTAACCCGCCACCCAACCCAGTGGTTTCCAGAGGTTTGGGCTTGGGTGCAAGCATTCAGGTGGAAGGTGGCCAGGTGTGTCAAAGCATGGTCACCAGATCCCTCAGTTTAATGGAGTAGCCAGTCTGGATCTGACCCCGTGTGTGAGGCTGTTTCATGTTTAGCAGTTTTGCTGCTATGTGTGAGCCAAGTCTTGGCTAGGGGGACTTCAGGGTACCTGCCTTTATATTCACATTCAAGCTGTGTGCTTGAGTTGTGTAGAATTTATTCTAGAAGTTAATCGATCATTTCTCACATGCACTTAAATAACAGCATGTGATTGATAACAGCCATTGATACAAAGAATTTTCATAGGCATGTATTAACTTCCCATCTGGCTTAACTTGAGTGACCTGACTGGGCATGTTTCTCTGTCAGCCGAAGCCCTGGCAGAAGGGGTGGTAGCTACTGGGGATGTGTTCATAGCCAGCCACCCTAGAAACTCACTCTCCTTGCAGCTGCCCAGAGAGGCTGGGGTGCTGATGTTTCCCCATTTTATGGGTGAGGAAATGGAGGCACAGAGAGGTTGAGCAGCCTGTGTGGGTCCCACAGTGGGTGGAGGTGTTTTTGAGTCTGTATATCTGGGCAGCCTTCTCTTTCCAGTGCCTGCCTTCCTGTGTCCGCCTTGTAAACACCACAGCAGCATGTCCAGTGAGCCACAGGGTGGTGGCTGGGAACCTGGGCTTACATGTGGGCTGACTACAGGGCACGGGTGGAGGACACATGGGGAGTGTGGCCACACAGCACCAGGGGTTGGAAGATGTGGACTGCGGTGAATGGCTTTGTGCGGGAATATAAGGCCCCCGGGGCTGAGCCAGAGTGGTAGATAGAGGGGTTTTTCAGCCCTGGAGGGGTAGCCTAGCCAGGACGCAAGCCTCGTGCCTGCAGGCCCCAGGAGAGAAGTGGAGCCAAGCCGAGCTGGGCTGCAGAATCAAGCTGGTGACAGCCCCAGGCACCCCCGTGCCCCTTACCAGCCAGCCCTTTTGTCAGGGATGCAGTGCAGGCACAGTGTGAGTAGAGTTTTCCGCAGGCTCTGCGTGTTCCCCAGGCACAGCTACTTGGCACTCCTGTGTGCTTTGTGAGTACATTCTCCTAAACTGTTTTGTTTTATTTGTTTTTTTAAAAATTGTATTTCATTTATTTTAGCATGTTTTCCTAAACTAATGGTGACTTAACCAGGGCGGGTGAGGAGACTTGTTCGCACTGATGTCAGTGTTTGGAGCTCAGTGTTTCCAATTCCTAGATATTGTGATCTGGAGAAGCAGGTGGCTGGCCCCTGGGGCATGAGTGTTACATGCTAGATATGTGTATGCTCCCTGTGTGACACTGTTTAAGACAGAAGGCCTTTTGGTTGAGGCAGCACTTGTGCCTTGGTGCTGGGGTTGCTGTGGCAGGCAGTGACACATCTGTGGGTGCGTGACCAGCCTCCCTGTGCTCTGCTCTTGAGGGTTAGAGATAACTTTAGAGTCTTTGCTCTGAGTTGATCAGATGGCCAGACACCTAGTGCAGCTTGTAACTTGTGGAGCTTTTCATTTTCAAAGTGAACTCTTGAATTTAAAATATCAACCTTACATATTTCAAATGATTTGTAGGTATATGCAGCTTTAATAAAATAAAAATGACACATGGGGCTGGGCTTGTACTCAGTGGTAGAGTACTCTCCTTGCATGTGGAAGGCACTGGTTTGATCCTCAGCACCACGTAAAAATAAAATAAAGGCATCGTATTCATTTACAACTAAAAAATATTAAAAAAAAAAAAGACACATAGTGATAATGTATACTACTGGATCATTTAAGTTGTATCTCTTTGTCTTTTTAATATCACACCTCCTGTAGCCCAAATCAGTCCTACCCCGAAACCCCAGTGTCTTGGCCCCGCGTGGCATGCACTCATGCTCTCTACAGAGCCAGACAGCTGCCTCCCAGGGTTAAACCTGGGAGCTCAGCTCCATGTCCTGTTGTATTGGTAGTTTTTAAACACCTGTTGCAAGAGGCTAAAATAGTCTTCTCCCAAAGACTGTTCAAATCAGGCATGTGAGAATTGCCCTCAGTCTTTAGGGCTTCTGTGCAGATGGGTACTCTGAAGGAGTGGGGCATTTCCTGCCCTTCCTGGGACTCCTTCCTAATCCCGAGCCACTCCCAGCAGTTAGCCCTGGTCAGAACCATTTAATGTCTGTTCCCTCTGTTGGCGCGCCTCGGGTGCAGTGTAGAGTGCTGTGGGATCCTGTGTGAGGTCCCCTTAGTTCTGTGGCTGTTTTGTCCTCCTCAAGGTAAGTGAATGTTGATTGTAGAAATCGTGACAAGCCAATATTGATGTGTGCGAAGCACATGTTCAGCTTTCTCCAGAAAGTAACTGTGCACTTGGGCCCAGGGTACCAGACCGCAGTCTCTGGTTAGGGACAGGCACACAGTGTGGCCCGAGGGACCCCGGGCTGCCCCACTGCTCGACAGATGGTTGTGTGTGATGCTTTGTTTCCTTGATTGAATTAGTGTATTGGTGGACTTCACATTTATAGTAAGTTTTATGATAGATTTTATAATCTTCAGTTTCAAAAATCACTTTATTTATAATTTTTTCAGGAGATAAATCTCCCCCTAAACTTGAACCATCAGATGCATTACCTCTTCCTTCAAACTCGGAGACTAATTCAGAACCACCAACCCTCAAACCAGTAGAACTCAACCCCGAGCAGAGTAAACTATTCAAAAGAGTCACATTTGATAATGCATCACATAGCACTTGCACTCAGAGCGCACTGGTAAGCGGACACCCTCCAGAGCCCACCCTCGCCAGTAGTGGCGATGTGCCGGCGGCGGCGGCCTCCGCAGTGGCGGAGCCATCAAGCGATGTAAACAGACGCACTTCTGTTCTCTTCTGCAAATCGAAAAGTGTAAGCCCCCCAAAGTCTGCCAAGAACACTGAAACCCAGCCAACTTCTCCTCAGCTAGGGACCAAAACCTTTTTGTCTGTAGTCCTTCCGAGGTTGGAGACTCTACTGCAGCCACGGAAAAGGTCGCGGAGCACATGTGGAGACTCCGAGGTGGAGGAGGAGTCCCCGGGAAAGCGCCTGGACACAGGTAAATGTCAGGGGCGGCTGCCACGCGACACGCTCTTCCTCCAGGGGTCTTCATATGAACTTTTTGGTGCTGAGCTGTTTTTTGCAGTGTCCTGTTTTCTTATTTCCAGAGAAGATGACAAAAAAAGGTGTTTTTTTTTTTTTTTCCCTTTCAAAAGCTCTGGATTGAGTCCAGGGTTGGCACCCTTGTGAGGAGTGTCCAGGCCAGGGCTGGTCCTGAGGCTGCAGGGGAATGGCCTTGATTTCTCCTTTGTCTCCTTTCTTCTCTGTGTTTTTTAAAACTCAGCTTTACGTGTGGTTTGGTTGAGCACCTTGCCATTCTGTGTCTGGGTGAACTGTGAGTGGCTGCGCCGGACACTTCCTGGCCTCTCAGCCCTTCCCAGCCCTCTGGAGGGTCTCTTGAAGTCCCTGTGAGCCCAGGACCCTGATTGGCAGCTGGACCTTCTGTTGCAGCACTTAGCACATGAGTCTAAAGGACAGGTTTTCCAAGTGTTTGGTGCAGTGTGGCCTCACCACCTGCCGAGACAGTGCTGAGCTTGTACAGGGCCTTGCATCCGTTCACCAAGATGTCCCAGGCGCCCCTCCATGGCACTCCATGAAACTGCACCTTGCTGTTGTTGAAGGGAGCCACCTTGGCTCTTTGGCAATCTCTAAACCTGCCCCTCAGGTGAAGGCCAATAAATTTCTTGTGTTCTTTAAAGAGTGACTGTCGCCAGTCATTCTATAATGGCTGTGTAACTGGAAGGTGCCAGAATCAGATCTCCAGTGTCTTTTTTTTGTTTTGGAGGTGTTTTTCCTTTGGTTTCTGGCCCTGGTCAGAGCTTGGTTCCTGTTCGTTGTCCACCTCTTATACCTAGATAAACAGAAGCGCATTTCCTCTCCACTGCCTGAGGGCGGGTGGTTTCTTGTACCTCTTGGCAGTGAGAACATGGGGCTGATGTAGTTGTTACTTCATGTCCCAGAGTGGGTGCTGGTCAGATGGGGAGGGTAGTGGGTGTGGCCAGCTGTAGGGTGTCTGCAGCCTCCCACCTTTGGGGGACTGCTGGCCTGAAGTACCATGTGGATCTTTGTACATTTCCTCCCATAGCTAATAAAGATACCATGGTTTTATAAATTGTGTGTGGGAGGTGGGGAGGGAGAAGTTGAAGGTGAAGGGTTGATCGGGATTGAACCCAGGGCCTTGGAATGAATTTTCATTTTGATTTGCTCGTGCAATCTTATAGGAACTTTCTATCCTTGTCCTCTAATTTCAATGGGTGGGTATTGCATTATCATTTAGAAATTTGGTGAGACCCCTGTCTCTACGTGAAATGAAGTGATTTGAGTGTTTCATAAGACACTGTTATGAAGGTAGAGGTTGGACGTTTCTAGCCGTGGGACTCCTCCTTAACTATGCTTTTGCCTTTCTCAGCCAAATTTAGTAAAAGACTTTTCCACCTTGTGATTTGAGCTGATTGGAAAGGCCCAGAGATGGGAAGCAGTGGGTTACAGTGACAGGGCAGGCCCCAGCTGTTGCAGGCTCCAGTCTCTGGTGCCTCTCCATGCAGAGCAGATTTTAGGCCTCGTGTCTGTTGGCAACACAGGGCTCAGGGTGCTGTGGGAAAGGGGACCTCCATGTATCTGGTGTCCAAGGTTGTGGCCTTCCTCTGCATGTGCAGGTGGCAAGCTTCTGCCAGGCAGGCCCTCATCCCAGTAGGCCTTGCTGGATGCTGCTGATGGGCTGCACCCAGCGATGTGGTTTCAGGGGCTATGCAGACTTGTTCCCCAGGTGTTGCTTGTGAAAAATGACGTGTGCCCCTTTCATTCTTATTTCTGTATTTCACTGGAGTGTTTTGCCGTGGTGACGGTGAGTCTGAAGGCAGCCTTACTGCGGACCTGTGATTTGTGTGATCCACAGTGTGCCTTGGCCCTGACTGAAATGGAGGTTTCTGCTTCTTGTTCCAGAATGGCAGTAGAGTCAGTGGATGCATGGTGGATTCCTAAGCGTGTTCCTGAGCAGCTGGGAACCTTAATTGCGCTAAGATCAGACTCTTGGGAGCAGCAGGTGTCCGCTGCTGTGTCTGATTAGCCCAAGGTGGGCCAGGTGCAGGCTGAGTGAGCCGGTCCTGCCTTTGTACTAGCTGTGTTTCCTTCTGAACTGTCTGGTGCTCTCTGTGCACCTGAATTTCTAGCTGGAGTTGTAGTCCGAGGCCTTGAAGTATTCAGAAGTCCTGATTTTTCCCAGATTCACTTTTGTGCTTTGAACTTATAGGAAGCTCTCTGGTATTCTCCAGTGCATGGCAAGATTCCAAGTTAGATCAAGGAAAGACTTGTTGGTTCTGAGACTGCTCATCCATCTGTCATTGTGCCACCCTGGCTTGTGGCTATGGGATAGGCCTGTGGTGCATTAGGCCTTATGTGGGCTCAGGGCCTGTGACTCTACTTTCCTAGGTGTCACACCTTCGGAGCTGGCCCTGTCCGATTACGTTCTTCCTCTGTGACTGCTCGCTTGTTTCCAACACTAGACCTTCCGTCCAGGGCGAGTGCTGGAGCCTCCTGCTGGAGACGGTCGTGAATGGGGGGCGAGCCAGTGAGCTGCCTCCTGCACAGGGAGGGGGCTGAGCTGTCTCTGCACTTCCAGTCCCACTAAATGGCTTTTTCGCTGTTTTCCAGGTTCTCATTTAACTGCTAATATGCTGGGTAGCTCCCTCTTTGGATCCTAATCCCTTTCTCTTACTTCGACTTGGACTGGAGTGGGACACAGAGCCATCGCTGCTCCTTGCCTTGCACGTAATTCTTGCGGATCATATTGGAATCATCCGTTCATCCATCCTCTAATCAAAAACACAGACAGCAGCCCTTGGAGAACTCTGCTGTGGCCAGCCCACCCATCTCTAAGTCAGCCCGGCGGGGGGAGTGGCGCTGGTGCCCCGGCATCCCACTTCAGCTGGTGGGACTTTCCAGCACCTTGGGCCTCCCCGTTTGGATAGTTGTGAAGGAGGCGAGGAGAGCCTTGTTCTGCGGCAGAAAACTGTCATAGCATGGACAACATAATTGGACAGTCTGAGCTCCATCCTGAGCATGCCCAGACCTGGCCTCTGATGACCTCTGAAGATGGGGCCCAGGCACCATTTTTCTCCCTCAGTTGTTAGCATCTTTCATCTCTTGGTTCTCTACCTGATTTCCCCTTTCCCTTTGCTTCTCTTTACTTTGCTTTTTCCTGGAGTATCGAGCAGCGCCCACTCTGGCTGACTGTGTGCAACGTCTGCTGGGCCAACTGGCAAGTCCTACCTGCGGGACCTGGAGTGACATCTCGTCCTGGGCTCTTAGCCTATCTTGACTGTCCCTAGCTGTTCTGCATGAAGCACATCTCTGCAAAAGCAGGCAGTGGCTGGAGTCGTCTTTGTTTGCTATACTTTGGTTGAAAGGCGGGAAAGGGCACCAAAAGTGCAGTCCATTGGGCAGGCAGGAACTGAAAAATGTGCCAGCAGGAGATGTGGCACCTTCCACTGGCCTGCGGTGCTCTGCCCCCCTGGCCTGGAGCAGGGCAGAGGCTTGACATGCCTGGAGGATGTGGACTACAAGACGCTGGGCCTTGGCTCAGTGCCCACTTCATGTCGTGTTACATGAGTCCAGGAAACACGGTGGTGGCTTGTTGGCCACAGCAGGGGTGAGGCTTGTGTCCTGCTCACACAGGCTGAGCACACATGGTGTCTCCATTCTCAGGTGTATCTGAGACCATAGGGCTGAAGGTGGAGGGCAGAGAGCTGGCCTGCCCAGCTTACCAGGCCCTGGTGTTCTCATCCAGTGCAGCCAGAGGGGTTTTGGCATCCACCTGGGTGGGGACACCTTGATCTCCCAGGGAACCACCTGGGGGCTTTTCCCTGCCATGTGTGTGAGCTGCTTGGAAAAGGGAGTCCTGACTGACTCAGGAAGTCCTTTGGGATCACCCCAACAGCCCCAGGTGTGCTACAAAAAGTCCTGGGTACAAGGGAGCTACCAGGGATTCTTTAGCTGTTTGAGTGGCTGGGACCACCTGGGCTTGATGGCATCTGTACTGGTTCATGGTCTGCTCTAGAGCAGGGCAGTCCTGGGGCTGGTCTTTGCAGGCTCCATTGTGCTTACAGGTGAGTGCTTGGGGCTTGGAGCAGTAACTCCTTCAAAGTACGCCCCTTTCATTTTTTCACTTGTTCTTTATCATAACACCAGCCTTTTCATTGGTTGAAAGTTACCACTGTATACATGATTTAGAAGCTTGGTGCTCTGTGATCTCCTGCTGTTTGCAGATTCCCTGTGGGCCGGGTGCTCATCCTAGACTGGGTGTTGTTTAGTTCTTTGCAGAGTTTAGGGGAAGGGGTCCTGGTGAGCTCAGTGGCCTCAGTGCCATGAGAATGTCTTGTCCTGAGCCTGCAGCTGGTGGGAGGGATCAGCACAGGAGGCCAGTCCAGGGGCCATGATGGAAGTAGAGGCAGGAAGGGTCTGTGCCTGGCTATTGCATCATAGTCCTGTGGCCTCCAGGCTGTGGCTGCAAGGCCTTTCTGAGGCTGGCCCAGGATCCCTGAGCCATACTGCCTCCTAGGGCATGTCCAGGACCTATCTGAAAGCCCTGCAGGGTGTAGTCTGCCTATGCAGGTGTCCCAGCCCTGCTTCAGCTTTGCTTTTTTCCTGGAGTATCGAGCAGCGCCCACTCTGGCTGACTGTGTGCAACGTCTGCTGGGCCAACTGGCAAGTCCTACCTGCGGGACCTGGAGTGATGTCTTGTCCTGGGCCCTTGGCCTGTCTTGGCTGTCCCTAGCTGTGTCTGCATGACACCCTCCTGGTAACGTGGCCTCGAGCTCTGCTTTATGCCATTGTGCCTAGCTCCCAGCAGGTGCCTGCCCCTTCTGAGGCACTTACTGCGGAGACCTTGTGAAGTAGAAAGCTCTGGGTGTACACAGCTTTTCAGCCTGTACGTGGGGTGCCCTCTAAGTGCGTGCTCTGGAAAACTAAGTGGAAGACATTTGAACATTCTCTTTTTTCTCAGAATCACGGACCTTCCTCTGCGTTTTCATCTTTTGATTCCTGGGTCACTTTGGGGTCCCAGCCAGGCTCCTTGGTGTGGGTTGGACTGATGCCATCATTCCTGGGAGCACTCAGGTGCCTCTGGGCTGTGTGCACTTCCTCTTGGCTTGCTGTCACCAGGCTGGTTCTGTGAGTGGCTACCACTGTTCGTCATCTTCCCCCAGCTGGCCTCCACCAGCTGTGTGGGTCAGGCTGGCTGCTGCTCTGCCCTCAGTTCCTTCCTTGTTTGAGGTCCTCCCCAGCTGCCCCTGATGGACCTGACATTTGGCCTGGCTGTGCTACTTGGCCTTTGTAACTGAGGGTCTTGGATTGTACACATCACAGGGAGGCAAGTGTCCCTTGAGATTGCGCTTTGGCATCTGAAATCACTGCATTGGGTTTTCACTCAGGCTTTGGAGTGACGTTTGTCCCTATACCTTGAGTGAGTGGCCTTGGCTGCTGGGCCATGTGTGTGGTCCTGGCTGGTCCTGCTGATGTCCTGGGCTTTTTCCTGGGTGGAGGCACCTATGCTGGTGCCTGCTGGTTCAAGACCTTGAGACTTACTTGCAGACCCGTAAGTCTGTGGCAGCTTGGTTCAGTGATGGCAGAGGGCACTAGGCTTTCAGTCCCTTCTCAGACCCTGGGTCCTGAGCATGGGATCCGTCTGTCCCATCTGTCTGCCAGTCTTTGCTGAGTGGCTACCTGTATTGACTTCGGCCAGAGTTGGGGCGTGCGTTCCTCTGCTCCTGGATCAGTCAGCCTCGCAGCACCTCTGTGACTTGAGTGTGGCACCAGACCCTGCCTCAGCCTACGTGTCATCTGCACTGCAAATGAGCAAATGTTGAAGGGTGTGAAGAAGCTTGTTGCATGTCGGAGCCCTGTGTCAGCAGAAGCAGGTCCTTTTCACGGAGGGAAGGCAGGCAAGAAAGCACACGTGCAGTTGGAAGCTTGCAGTCTGGCCACGCACTCCAAAAGATTCCTGAAAAAATGCTTTACGTTATTACTCCGAAAATAGATTTGCAATTGATTTGTTTTAAGGATGAGATAAGCCTGAAGATGGGATTCTGTTTTGGAAAAAGCACTCCTCCTCCTCCTCTTCCTCTTCCTCCCCCCCCCCCCCCCCCCCCC